CACACACGCGCTCTCACACTCACACTCCCTCACACACTCACACACACGCACACACTCTCCCTCGCGCACACGCTCGCACACTCTGCTCGGACACATCTGCTATTCCCCGATGTGTTTAAACAACGCATCATCAGGCGTCTGGGTGGCTCAGTCAGTAGAACGTCTGACTTCAGCTTGAGGTTCGGGAGTTCGAGCCCCGAAACCGGCTTGCTGCTGCTGCCAGCCTGTCCGCGCAGAGCCTGCTTCGGATCCTCCGCCCCCCTCTCTCTGCCCCTCCCCCAAATAAATAAATATTAAAACAACGCTCGCCCCCAAATAAATATTAAAACAACGAACAACGCATCATCTGAGTAAATAACTTCCTCGCTTGCTTTGAGTCTTTCCTAAAAGTCGTCTTTCCCGGACACCATAGTTGAAGTGTCAACCCCCCGGGGCGCCTGGGCGGCTCAGTCGTTAAGCGTCCGACCTGGGCTCAGCTCGTGATCTCATGGCTCGTGAGTTTGAGCCCCGCGTGGTCGGGCTCTGTGCCCACGGCTCGGAGCCCGGGACCTGCTTCGGATTCTGTGTCTCCCTCTCCCTCTGCCTCTCCCCCACTTGTGCTGTCTCTCTCTCTCTCTCTCTTTCAAAAATAAATACACATTAAAAAAAGCAAAATAAAATTTCAACCCCTGCCACTCCCCACAACATGTCATCCCCCCTCTTACACTTATGTTTTTAAAGACTTTATTTTTCAGTAACCTCTACACCCAATGTGGGGCTCGAACTCACAACCCCGAGATTAAGAGTCTCACGCTCCACTGACTGCCTTCCCTTTTATACTTTTTAATTTCCTTCTTTGCACGTATTCTAATGGACTATATATTTTACACGTTTATCTTGTTTATTGTCTTTTCCCTGCGTAGAATTTAAATTACGTGAGGATGAGGATTTTGGTCTATGTTGTTCGCTACTCTATTTCCATAGCAGACGCTCAACAAATATTTGTGGAAGGAAGGGGCAGTGGGAGGAAGGATGTCCTTATGGACACGTGTTTGGATGCCTGGTTACCTCCTTGGCTTGAATGCCTGAATTTTGGTAGGTGAGACTATACCTGGTCCAATTGTTGACACTTATTTCTAAACTACCTTCCAGCAAGGGTAAAGCAGGGCACACGTTGCCTACCAGCCTGCTTTCTCAATTTTGCTCACAGAGTCTCAACCTGATAAACAAAACCCCCGTCTCCCGGCTCTCACGTCCATTTCTGTGATCAGAGCTTTACCAGCTTTTCCCAGGCAGCTGGCATCGGTCTCTCGTAAGTTGCGTGTCTTCTCTGCCCGCGTTGGGGCCGTGTGTCCCTTTCTGAGTGTTTTGCAACCACAGCTGGCGAGAAGGCAGTGTGATGGAAGCAGGAACGGCCTCGGGAGACAACGGTGTGTGTCCCGAGCTGTGTGCTGCGAGAGCCCAGATTCCGCTCCTTCTCCCGGTACGTGTGTGACTCTGCACCAGCCACTCTGCCTCAGTCTCTCCATCTGTAAGACGCGGGTGATGACAGTGCCGGCTTCATACAGCCACGGGGGTGACGAAAGAGTCCGTTTATGTAGAAGAACACGGCCAACGCCTGGCAAATTCCATGCATCTCACGATAGCCTACCTTATTTTTTTTTTAGGTTTATTTGTTTTTTGTTTTTTGTTTTTCAACGTTTATTTATTTTTGGGACAGAGAGAGACAGAGCATGAACGGGGGAGGGGCAGAGAGAGAGGGAGACACAGAATCGGAAGCAGGCTCCAGGCTCCGAGCCATCAGCCCAGAGCCCGACGCGGGGCTCGAACTCACGGACCGCGAGATCGTGACCTGGCTGAAGTCGGACGCTTAACCGACTGCGCCACCCAGGCGCCCCTGAAATGGCATCTTTATCATAACGTGGTGAACACTTACAGCAGTATCTATCTTGTTCTAAAGTACTCCAGGACGAGTTGGGTGGAAATGCTCTCCCCTTTCTGTTTACCCCAACCCCCCAATGTTCTGTTTGTAGAATAAACGACTAGAGGAAGTGAAAAGAGAAGAAAGAGAATTATTAGAGGCCCAGTCGATTCCCCTGAGAAACTATTTAATGACCCACGTGATGCCAACACTTATGCAGGGTCTGAATGAATGTTGTAAGGTCCGACCGGACGATCCTGTTGATTTTCTGGTAAGAGACTTTTTTTATAAGCTTTTTAAAAATGTTTATTATTTTTTTATTTTTTAAAACGTCAGCACGGAGCCCGGTTTGGGGCTCGAACCCACAAACTGTGAGATCGTGACCTGAGCCAAAGTCGGACACTTAACTGACTAAACCACCCAGGCGCCCTTTTCTTTATTTATTTTTGAGAGAGCGAGAGAGAGCAAGGGAGGGACAGACCGGGGATGGGGAGAGAATCCCAAGCAGACCCCTCCCTGTCAGTACAGAGCCCGACATGGAGCTCGATCTCACAAACTGTGAGATCATGATCTGAGCTAAAACCAAGAGTCAGACACTTAACTGACTGAGCCACCCAGGAGCCCCTACAGTAAGATTTTATTACTCATTTGAGAGTAAAGATTTAGGTACTTTTATTTTTATTTAATTTTTATTATTATTATTTTTAATGTTTTATTCATTTTTGAGAGAGAGAGAGAGAGAGATGGAGTGCGAGCGGGGGAAGGGCGGAGAGAGAGGGAGACACAGAATCCGAAGCAGGCTCCGGGCTCTGAGCTGTCAGCACAGAGCCCGATGCGGGGCTCGAACTCACGAACCGTGAATCATGACCCGAGCCGAAGTCAATGCCTAACTGACTGAGCCACCCAAGCGCCCCTTTGTACGTTTATTTTTAAACTGTAATCATTAGTAGCAATGTCTTCTAAATTACTGACTTGTCTTTTTTTCTTTCTTTCAATTATAGGCAGAGTATCTCTTCAAGAACAATCCTGAAATACAGTGAAACTTTACAGATCGCGTATGATATACCTTTATGGAGTTAGAGTTTAACATTGTAATTTGAAAAATTTGCTTTAAAAAAAAATGCGTTTCCAGTTTTTGGAAAGTTCCTTGTCTTCCCCACAAGCAAATACTTTATTATGTGGAAGCATTATAAAAAGCTGTATGGCAATGAGTGACATCATTAAAGAACTTTATTTGAAAGGTAATGATAAAGTATGCATAGCTCATGGGACAAATACTGATTTTATATTGTATTCATAGTCAAGGTATTCTGCACACTGGGATATACGGTAATTTTTAGCATGAAGAAAATCAGACTATCTATTATTTGAACACATAGGCTAATGACTTTACACAATTTGCTATGGCCCGGATGCCAATGGTGTCAGAAAGAAATGAAAATGGTTTATGCTTTGTTGACTCACACTTTGTCAGATGTGATTTGTTTCCACTGGGTTAAGTTTTGAGTTCGGGGTCAGTATCCTAGGCAATGAGTCAGAGAGAGAATGATAAACCTCTTGGTAGAACAATTCCCGTAACAGAATGAATAATCCTAATATTTGTGGTAATTAAAAGCTGCCGAATATTTTCAACAAACTTTACAATGCAGGCATAGGCAATCAAGCCCTATGGTCTTTTCCAGCTTGAAAAGCCCTGTAATTTCCAGAATGACACGGAATGAGAAAATTAAACTAATCAACTAGGTTTATTTTAATGGAGTATATTTCGTCTCTTTAAATAACGTAATCTGGGGGCGCCTGGGTGGCTCAGTCGGTTGAGCATCTGACTTCGGCTCAGGTCATGATCTCACGGTTCGTGGTTTGAGTCCTTCCTGCATTTGGTTCCATGCTGTCAACACAGAGCCCGCTTCAGATCTTCTGCCCCCCCTTCTCTCTCTGCTCCTCCCCCGTTCATTCTCTTCCTCTCTCCCTCTCTCTCTCTCTCTCTCTCACTCGCTCTCTCTGAAAAGAAATAAACTGAAATAGATCTACATATATAATGTAGTCTGAATATAACTGCACTTTTTTTTTATTGAGGTAAAATACACACTACATAAAATATACCATCGTGACCACTTAAAAGTGTACAATTCGGGGGCGTCTGAGCGGCTCAGTTGGTTAAGCGTCCCGACTCTTGATTTCGGCTCGGGTCGGGATCTCTCGGTCGTGAGATCAAGCCCCGCCTCAGGCTTTGCGCTGAGTGTGGCGCCTGCTTGGGATTCTCTCCCTCTGCCTCTCCCCACCCCTCTCAAAGATAAATAAATAAACTTTAAAGCATACAGTTCAGTGGCACTAAGCACATTCACTATGAAAGGGAGGTGTGTGCAAAACGACCTCCAAAGCCCAAAGGGCCAGTAAGACGGAAGAAAAAGGCTGACAAATCGAGCTTGATAAGAAATGGCTTATTAAGGGGACTTGCCAGACCCCAGCTCCAGCAGGTCCAGGGGTTCCCCAAGGATGAACGGGCGTCGGCAAAAAAGTGAAAAAAATAAAAATAAAAAAATAAAACCGGACACAGACCACAGCAGTGCGTGGAACTGGCCGCCTTATTGTGGCAAACGTGGCATGATGTTCGTTCGCAATTTCCTTGTAGCGTGCGTCATCTGTTTTCTGGCATTACCTGATTCTAAAAATGTTCCTACGTGTAATCACCCTTTACGGAATAACATGGTTATTTTTTCACAACGTTCCCTCCTGCCCGTTGCGGATTGATTAATTTCTTACATTATTTTCATGATGTATCTACGTTTATCTATCATCTATGAAGCATTTGCTCTGCTGCTTTCATGAAAGGTCATCTATCTCTCAACCCCTCGGGCGGAACAGTTACAGGGACATGACCTCTTAGTTGTTTCCCCGAACCATTTGTGGTTTGAGGAACAAGTGTTTGCCTCGGTCCGAGGTGCCAGGAGGGGGCCAAGAGGGCCTTAGGAACCCACGCCTTATACAGTCTCAGAGAGACAATGCACCTAGGAACTAATGAACCATTCTGTACTTTAGCCGACTAGGTTCAGTCATCATCTGGAATGCCTCCGGGGGGCCAGGTGGGCCTAGGGGTTGGGGTAACTTGTGCCCATAGATACGCTCCTTAGTTACCGGCGTGGGGCTTTGAAATCCATTTGTTCCTTCCTTGGCTGGGAAACGTATGAGGCTATCCTTCCTCTGGGTAGAGGAGTCTTTATAGGGGGTGGCAAGGGCTAAATGTAGGGCCGCACGATCTCCTTGCGGAACCTTCTTTCTCTCCCCAATGGTTCTTTTCCCAGGGGGCCTGTCGAGGGCAATCTCCCAACAGACGATTCCCCAGGTACTTTTATTAAGGCCAAATTACATAAAAGCGGGAGTACAAGAAGCTTCGCTGTCGCTGGGCCGCCCGCCTGTATAGCCCTAGGGGCTGGGAGTCCACCCAGTGGGAGAATGGTTAAAAATAAGTGTGTGTAATAGTCCGATTTTGGGGACAGATCAAGAACGGTTACGCCCCGAGGGTGCATTTAAGGGTGTGGTTGAACAAAAGGAGAGAATGTGAGGGGAGGGCTGTGCTCGCGAAAGCTTCGGGTCACCGAGCTGTCATCAGGGCACATTTGCCCAGATGGGGTTAGTCTGTTCCAGCCGACGTTGGATACTCGTCACCACTACCTGGCCTCAGAACCTTTCCATCGCCCCAAATGGAACTCCTGTATCCTGTACTAGCCCTTCAACCCAGCTCCTGGCGGCCACCAATCTGCTTTCTGTCTCTCTGGATTGGTTTCTTCTGGATATTTTATGTAAACGGAATCATACAGCGTGTGGCCTTTTGTGTCTTCTCTCACTGGCATGTGTTCAAAGCTCACGTTGTGGCACGGGTTCCTTTTTGTGGCTGAATACTATTCCCGCGTACGGACACGCCACCGGTCTAATCGTTCATTCGCTGATGGACGATTTGGGTCGTCTCCACCTTTCAGGTAATTGTGAATAGTGCTGCCGTGAACATTTGTGTACAAGTTCTTGCCTGAACAACCGTTGTCAGTTTTGGTGGGGGGCTTGCTCCCTTCGTACTTGGGTTGACTGTCTTTTTGCCATTGAATTGTAAGAGTCCTCTCTATATTCTGGATGTAAGACCCGTATAGGATAGAGGATTTGCGAATATTTCCTCTATTCTGTGGCTGGTGTTTTCTTTCTTTTTTTAAAAAAATTTTTTAATGTTTTTATTTATTTTTGAGACAGAGAGAGACAGAGCATGAGCAGGGGAGGGGCAGAGCGAGAGGGAGACACAGAATCTGAAGCAGGCTCCAGGCTCTGAGCTGTCAGCACAGAGCCCGACGCGGGGCTCGAACTCAGACTGTGAGATCATGACCTGAGCCGAAGTCAGATGCTCGACCGACTGAGCCACCCAAGGGCCCCTGTGGCTGGTGTTTTCACTCTCTTGATGGTGCCCTTTCATGCCAAAAAAGCTCGCCATTTTGATGACATCCAATTTACCTATATTTTTCTTTTGCTTCACTGCACTCTTTTTGACCCTTATACTTCAGGTTGCAAGTCATGAGCCCTCGTGACAGTTACCTTAATCCTAGAGCCTTAATCACAGTCACCTTTTCGTGCCTTCCCACGAGGGTTACATTTCGGGACCTTGCTTCTTAGTTCGCTGAGGAAACCCAAGCAATCAAAAGGGCTGTTCTCTTCTCCCTACTGCAAACTGGCTGTTTCGCTTCTGTGCTCCCATCCGAGACCAACTCCTGACTCCCTGGGTGCATCCCTGCTCACGTCATCAGATTCTGTTCCTAGGGTGGTCTCTCCTCTCCCACAGCCTGACTTTCCCCTCCTTTCTGGACCATCACTCTTAGCTTTGAACTTAATGTACTAGCTCCCACGCTTCCAAACAAAACAGGACAGGGGTACCGTTTGTGAGTTCGAACCCCGCGTTGGGCTCTGTGCCGACAGCGTGGAGCCTGCTTGGGATTCTCTCTCTCCCTCTCTGCCCCTTCCCCACTCATGTGCATACACACGCGTGCTCTCTCTCTCAAATAAATAAGCATTAAAAAAACCTACACAGGACAAAAGCTGATTAAAATGCAAAAGCCTTCCTAGACTTTGGTGTCCCCCTCCAGCCAGGGTCCCAAGATCCTGCTCCCCTTTAGGTCAAGGTTACAGTGACCTCCACATTTCTAAATCCCTTGGCCAAACCTGGGTCCTCATCTTACTTGACCTCTGCGAGCATCTTATCATTTCCTCCCTGAAACCCCCTCTTCCTTCCACCCGAGTGTCTAAAGCGGGGCCGGTCCAATTCCTATCGCTCTCCCCCCTCCTCCCCACCACTGCTCCCCGCCCCCTGCCCACCATCTCAGGGACCCTCAATTCCATCCTTCCAAAGCTTGGTGTCACCTGCAACTCTTATCTACAGTCAGTTCACCAGCGCATCCTATGGGCCCGGCTTCTGCCACATGTTCCAAGTCCCCTGCTCCTCACCCCTCCGACACGACTGTCCTGCCCCAGACACCTCTATCTCCCACCTGGTGGGCCGCTGTCACCCATGACCGGGCTGCTACTTCCTGTGACTGCTCTCCACATACCGGCAGGGGGATCCTGTTCAAACAGAAGTCCGATCCGCTCCGAGCCCTCCGGGGCCTTGCAATCCCACATTGGGTGGGTGGGGGGGGGGGGGGAGGCGAAGTCCTGACCTTGCCTAGGAGGCCCGACACAGCCTGACCCCTCGTGCCCTCACTGCCCCCTCACTTCACTCTTCACTGCCAAGTATGGTCTGCTGTGGGGCCGTCGCCTGGAATCCTCGGCCCACACATCTCCCTGTGGCTCACTGTGCCTCGTCCTTGGCTTGGATCCAATATCCTGTCCCCAGAGGGGCCTCCACGGCCCGTCCTGTCCACGGCGCCCCACTCCATTCTTGTTCTCTGCTTATGTTGACGTTCTGCGTGTTTCTTGTCTCTCTCCCCCACTAAAATGTAAGCTCCACAGAGGTGGGGGTTTCGGTTTTTTCCTGGGTCTTTATTGTTAATATTTCAATTCTTCCCCCAGTAATGATCTAGAGAGTCAATGCAATCCTAATCAAATTCCCAGTGTTTTTTTTTTGTTTGTTTGTTTCATGGGAATTGATCATCTGATTCTGAAAAGTATTTGGTAATGCAGGGGACCTAGAATCATCAGAGCAGTCTTTTTTTTTTTTAATTTTTAATGTTTATTTATTTCTGAGACAGAGAGAGACTGAGCATGAGTGGGGGAGGGGCAGAGAGAGAGGGAGAGGGAGAGAGAATCCCAAGCAGGCTCCATACTGTCAGCACAGACCCCAACATGACAGGGGCCAAAATCAAGAGTCGGGTGCTTACCTGCTTAACCCGCCGAGCCACCCAGGTGCTCCCAGAGCAGGCTTAAAGAATGACAAGGAACCTGAAGGACTTCACTCTCCAGATATCAAGGCTTATTATAAAACTACAGTAATTAAGATCAATGGAACAGAAAATATGGTCTTTCCTATAAATGGGGCAGGTCGTTTTAGAGGGTCATACGTTTAAAAAAAATCAACCAAAAAACCAAAAAAAAAACCCCCAAACCAAAAAAAACCCAAACCCTTGACCTCTAACTCACACTATATGCAATATTATTTTAGGATGCCTTGTGGACCTAAACAGCAAAGTCAAAGCAATAAAGCTTCTACAATAGAATAAAACATAAGAGGAGTTCTTCATAACCCAGGGGTGGGTGAAGATTTCTCAAGGTAATATTAAAAGAG